ATAACAAATCAAATATTTTACAAACGAATAAAGTTACCGTAATTGTGAAGTTAGTAATTGAAAGTTAACGTAATTCCGCATCCAACGAGCCCTATATGAAGTATTTTGGATAAGTAGATTGTTAATAAACAATTAGTTAACATTGCAATTGTTTATTAACAATCTACTTATCCAAAATACTTCATATAGGGCTCGTTGGATGCGGAATTAGCTTAACTTTCAATTGGTTAGTTGAGATTTACGATAACTTTATTTGTTTGTAAAATATTTTATTTTTTACTAACAACAAGCATCCAAAAGCCCTATATGAGGTATTTTTGTTCAATTTTAGTTAAATAACAATAAAAAATGAAATATCTTACAAACAAATAAAGTTATCGTAAATCTCAACTAACCAATTGAAAGTTAAGCTAATTCCGCATCCAACGAGCCCTATATGAAGTATTTTGGATAAGTAGATTGTTAATAAACAATTGCAATGTTAACTAATTGTTTATTAACAATTTACTTATCCAAAATACTTCATATAGGGCTCGTTGGATGCGGAATTACGTTAACTTTCAATTACTAACTTCAGAATTACGGTAACTTTATTCGTTTGTAAAATATTTGATTTGTTATAAACATTAATTAATTAATTAATTAATATCTCAAAAACTTTAAAAGATCCCACTCTGAAAATTACATGTTTTGTAGGAAATTAGTCAAGCTTTCCATTGAGATAGTTAAAAATAATTTTAAAAAATCCGATTTGAGATAAACGTAAATTAACATTTTGACCTTGAATTTCAAGGTCAAATGTTATTTAAAAAAAAAATTTTATTATCAGCGTGTAGCTTGGCAAAAAAGCTTTAAAAATCATTATATATATGTTAACTTTTATGTTTTCTACTTATAAATATTGTACATTGAAAAAAAATTTTTTTTTTTTAAATTCAAAAATTAAAAACGTTGTAATTCAAAAACTATTTTGTTAAATTCAATAATAATTGATTTTTAGACTTTCACCAACAATAACAGCATTTTAGAAAAGTATGGATTAAATTCGAGAACTTTTAATTTTTTGTTCGGACATTTCAGGAATTTTGCCTCATATGTAGTTTTGCGTGTAAAATACAGGAAAAATATAGCGAACCTGATTGGAATTGATTATCACAGCGTTGTCAAGAAAAAACCATGAATTTTTACTAAAAATGACTATGTAGCCCCCCTAGCAGCCATATCTTTTAAAATAAAGAGCTCAAATTTGGTACACTTATGTATTTTTACGTGAAAATTACAGGAAAAATATTGCAAACATGATTGGGATCGGTTTACATAGCGTTGTCAAGGAAAAATAAAAAATTTCGAGAAAAAACGTTTAATCCCCCTAGCGCACACAATACTCAACCCAGACAGTTTATATTTAGTATAGAAGTGAGGCATTCTTTGTCAACGCGGACACCCCTCTCGCCCAAATTCTTTTCATTTTAAATTCATGTTTAATGGCTTAAATTTTAGTTAAAGGAATATACTTTTGAAATCTGAGTGGCATATATCCAAAAACAAAATATAGGATCCAATATAAAGGTTATTCTTTAAATTGGTAATAAAAAGTTACTCTAATTCATTTTGAACAATCCAAAATGTAATGTTTGAGGCCTTTTTAGCCCTTTGTATTTGGAAATATGCCACTCAGATTTCAAAAGTATATTCCTTTAACTAAAATTTAAGACATTAAACATGAATTTAAAATGAAAAGAATTTGGGCGAGAGGGGGGTGTCCGCGTTGACAAAGAATGCCTCAAGTGTATTTTTGCATGAAAATTACAGGAAAAATATATTGAGCACGATTGAAGTTGATTAATTTTTATCAAAGTTTTAAAGAAAAATGATAATTTTAGAAAAAATCATATCTTTTTCCATTCAAATCTAAATATTTTTCTTTAAATAAAATCAGAAAAGTGCGGTTACACTCGCACTAAAATCGAGGGTTCCGTACACGAAGCGAACTTATTTGATATAAAATCAAATGTTTAAAAATATAAGTTTTGTATGTCCAATAATGTAAGTGATACGAAGAGGAACATTTTTTTAAAATCTTTTACAAAATTGTAATACAGGTTTTATGACTTTTCAAAAAGAGTAGGGAGTTGTGCTCCACCGTTGAAAATTGAAGAAAAAGACATATTTTTTAGAATATTCCTTATTTAAGTTATGAAATGTGAAAAAGTAAGATAACTTACATAAAATAAAGTAATAAAAAAGATAATAAAAGATTAATTTTATATACTTTAGATAAAATTAAATCATTTTTAAAATAATTGAATTAAACTACACGGAAAAACTTTGTGCAAGAATCATTCCTAAATTTGTTCAGGAACTGAGGATATGAGAATAATTTAAGAAATCTTATTTATATTTTCTTTGAAAAATTCTAAGCAGTATTTCTATAAGAATTGTAGAGAAATTCAAGACAACTTCCTAAACTCACTACAGAAAGTCTTGAACTTGTTTTAGAATAAATTTTCACGTTTGCGAGAAAAAAAATTTACTCTGAGAGGACTCGATCCCACGTCCTCGAGAGTCCAAAAACTCCGCTTTACATCTCTCAGCTACCTTAGCAGCTTATGGTATTATACATTGGAAACGTATTTGACGCAACCAATCCCTGCCTAGTGCTTTGTTACTGTACTGTGTCTTCTAAAACAGTTCAAGAAACTTTCAACGCCCAGTGACTGAGATATTCCGATCGCGGCATTAACAAGAAGTCTTCCAATGTCATAATAAAAATACAAGTATTTTCTTCAATGATTTTTGTATTTTTCTGTAAATTTTGCAGAATTTTTCTCATATCCTCAGTTCCTGAACAAATTTAGGAATGATTCTTGAATAAAGTTTTTCCGTGTAGGCAATTAATTTCATTTATTGATGACAATTTGAAAATATTAGTGGAAGTGATCTAAACATACATGGGAAAAATTAGTCGCGTAAATTTTAGGCGACTAATCGAAGACTCTCGGATATTATAAAATATTTTACGGAGTTTTAGAAATACTCCACGATTTTAAAGGAAATTCTAGAAAAAAGTCAACGACTTTTTAGAAACCTAGTAGCGGAAAAAAGACGCGAAGTTATTGTAACACTATGACGGTCGGGCCAACCATCACCCAGAGTTTGTCCAACCATAGCGTTTAAGTCTTTTAAACTACGTTTTCCGAAGTTTTGAAGACGGTCGGGCCAACCATCACCCAGAGTTTGGCCAACCATAGCGTTTAAGTCTTTTAAACTACGTTTGCCGAAGTTTTGACGACGGTCGGGCCAACCTTCACCCAGAGTTTGGCCAACCGAAGCATTTAAGTCTTTTAAACCATGTTTCCCGAAGTTTTGCGACGGTTGGCCCAACTCTGGTTCAAGTTGGGCCAACGGTTGGCTTTACTCAGCATGCCATAGTTGGCATGCAAAGTTGGCCCGACCTTGGTTACTTGTAAATACCCAGGTTGGACAAACTTTGGTTACCAAACTTCGCTTGCCAAAGTTAGGCCAACCTAGGCCCAACCATCCAACTCTGGCAGCCAGCCTAAATTCGCACCTGGGATGTAGTAATAATTAATTATAAGGGATAATAAAGAAAAAATAAAGAAGAATTAAGAGAATTTTTTTTAATTGGTCGGTTTAGAGTTTTGTTTTCCGCGACTGTTGGTGAAACTTTAGAACACTGTAGAGCAAATTTTAGGTTCGTAATTTTCCTCGACTGTCGCTGAAAGTTTAGAACACGTTTTCTAAATTCTCTTCGAATGTATTCTATTTTTTGAATTACTTCTTTGTGATTTTTAGAACTGAGTGATTTTAAAAAGTTAAACACTTTCCAATATATCCGAGAGTCTTTTACAAAGTCGATAAAAACCGCGACTAATTTTTTCCGAGTAAGGAGACAAAAAACTTTTAGAAAAAATTTTTAACTTACTATCCGTAAAGACATGAAAAATGCTTCCAAAGATCACGGGTACCACTTAAAAAATTAGTTCTTAACGAGAAAAGAATATGCCAATAGTTGAAATTTGATATATTAATTGCAATAATAAAAAAATTAAGGTGGATCACGACTCCCCACGAGGCACAACTCCCCTCTCTCCTCTACATTATTGGACATATAAAACTTATATTTTTTAATCATTTGCTTTTATATCAAATAAGTTCGCTTCGAGTACGGAACCCTCTATTTCAGTGCGAGTGTTGCCTCATTTTTTTTTTTTTGTTTAAATCGGTTTATTAGAATTCGAGTTATCCACTCCGCCAGTTTTAAAAACAGTGTTTTGAGAAAAACGCGTTTAAAAATTTAACTCCCAAATGTAGAAATTTTTATCAAAGTTTGACTCTGTATTTTAGAACTTAAACTTTATGGAAACAAGTTTTGCAATAAACATTTCTTATGTATCAAAAACCGCTCTTTCGAATGGTGCGTATAACAATTTTTAAATAAACTAATATCACTTGTTTTTTTTAAATAAAAACGTGAATGTTGGAGGTTTCATAGACACACTGCGCTTCATTCAGTTGTGTAACTTTTATTTTTTCGAATTTTGATTTGGTACTTTGGGATTGCATTAGTAAGTTGATTTGGAACACGAAAATTAAAAAAATAAATTTTTTGGTCGGTATAAAAAAGTGTAATACTACCTTAATGTTAATATGTATATAAAAATCATTTGATTTAACGATTTTTAGAGTTAAAATAAAAATCTTTTTGAACTAATTAATTTCCCTGTTTGAAAGAAAACAAATTCATATAATATATCCTTTTTGTAAATTTAATCGTCTGCCATTATTTTCAAATTATTATTAATAGTTTTCCACAAAATTGCACCTGTTTTAATATCGCACACTTATGGCATGCATTTGTTAGTTTTTCTTCTCTTTTATTATTATTCTTATATCATTATGAATATTTAATTATTTTTTTAATAGGTGATAAGAGACAAAAGATTTGTGTAAAACTGCACTATTGTATGATTTTTCAGATGAGAGATTACTCGAATATGACATCGACCATTTGGTATTCGAAGCCAGATCACCATACCAAAAGGTACAAATTGTACACTCCAAATCTCTAGGAAATCTTTTAGTTCTGGACGAATTGCAAAGTAAGTTTAAAAATGTTTAATTTTTTTTTCTTTTAACATTTCCTTAAACAAATATTCCCTAAAATCCTTTAGTTCAGCATTTTTGTTATCAAGATATAATTGCAGAAATGGTACACTTCTCCAGTGTCTAACTTTAGTTCTATTAAGTGATGTTTAACTTTTTTAAAGATTATTAGTCCCTGCACATTAAGATTTTAAAAGAAACATACAAATGTTTTTATAGACATTTATACTGCCGTCCTGATGAAGAAAGTCCGTACTTGCAATTTGAGAGATTTCGAGATATTTAAAGGAACGCGTTCTTAACGAACAGCACAAATATATAAAAATTATACAAATAATTACAATCGATATAAACTAAACTAGCTGCTTAACGCGCGCGTCCATTTTTCTGGTCCATTGATCGTCTCTTCATTGAGAAGATAACGCATGTTGCATACGCGAAACACGTAAAAATGACATGCATTGTAGTGCGTTTTGTGTTTGCATCTCACTTTATCCTCTTACAATTATAATATCCAATATTATTAAAATTCTATGTTATATAATATTAAAATATTAAAAAAATTGATGTTGACATAAAAATTGACAAAATTACATTGCAAGGCATTATTAATGAAAAAAAAATTCAAATAGGAATCTTACAACAAAAAGGATCAAACATTTAATGACATTTGTGACTGAAGTATTACAGAACATTTGTGACTGAAGTATTACAGAACATTTGTAGACTTGACATAATGTTATAATTCTAGAACAGATAGTTATTAATAATAATTTCTAGAATAAGACAAGCATTCTGTTCTAGAAATGTCATGTAATAGTTTTTCAGCACAGTTCTAGAGCAGAAGCGGAACAAAATTTCTAGAACATTTGTGACATCTATGTTTTAGAACTCTTTTAGAACATTTGTTACAGAATAATTTAAGAACAAATTCCCGGATTTATTCTATAACAAAAAGAGGATATTGTTCTAGAAAGGTGACATAATATTGTTATATCACAATTCTAGAACAAAAAAAGTACAAAACTAGAACATTTGTGACTTAAATGTTCTATAACACTTATGGAACTTATATCTATAAGAACAGTTCTGGAACAAACAAATAGAACAAGTATGTAACATATTAGGAACATTGTTCTAGAACTCTCTTACCATTTGGTTCTATAACTGCTACATGTTTTTAATTGCACAATTGTTCTAGAACAATGTTCGTTAATTTTAATAGAACAATTATAGAACGTGTTTGCTGGGTATTTTCCTGTTTTACAAATCACTTTAATTATCTTTTGAATAAACTCAATGTAAAGTTTAACATATATATCACAACATTTTGACATAGCGTCAATTTTCACATTCTTTGAAAAATAGAATTTTTAAAGTGCTGTAAAATTCGTAAATGATCAGATAAAGAGGTAAAAGTGATTTTGTTTCGTTTTTATGTATGCAATAAACCTATGTAAACAGATTTTCTCTACATTTTCACTTCATTTAAAATCTCTTCCTGACCACCGTTGGCATTCTGAAAATTTATATACAGATCGGAAAAAAACCTCAGCTTTCGTTTGTAATTATTTATTTTAAAAAAACGGACCGATTTTGTGAAAATAGCAAATTTATGTTTAATTATAGAAAATCAAGGTTAAAATTCAAAAATCTTTAAAAACAAAATTCACCATTGAAAAGAGCATGAAAAAACCTTCAAAAACCATACCTGCCAACATTTTTTTTATTGCATTTATAGACAGCAAAAATTCAAATAGTAGGCGATGCCAGGGAAATTTCCTCAAGTTTCCCTTCTTTTCGAGAAATTAATTTTTTAACTTCGGACATTACACGTAAAATGCCTCATGTATGTATTAGTGGTGTGCAAAAAGCTCGAAACTCGATCGAGATTTTGCGAGCTTTTCGTTTTTCAAGTCGAGCCGAGTCGAGCATTATTAATTCGAGCTCGAGCCGAACTGTATAAAAAACTCGAAAATTTTCTAGTACTCCAACGATTTCGAGTACCCGAATATTTCGAGTACTCGAGTAACTTCGATCACTCGAGTAATTTTGTAATTTCAAATATGTAGTCATTCATTTATCTGTTGAATTGATTAATTTAGTAATTTTTGCAAAACAATAAAAATTTAACTTTTAATATACTCGAATTCATTCGAGAACTCGAAAACTTCGAGTGCTCGAAATCACTTGAGTACTCGAAAATTTGGAGTTCTCTAATTTACTCGAATGGTCGAATTCATTCAAATACTCGGAATTTTCGAGTACTCAACTGTATGCGAGTACTCGAATTCACTCGAGTGCTCGAAAAATTCAAGTACTCGATACCTCGAGCCAAGCTCGGACTCGACTCGACTCGAAATTCGAGTTTTTTGCACACCTCTAGAAATTATGTGCGTATGGCACGGATTCTGAAAATAAATAATAATGTCATTAAATTTATCTGCCTGAATTTGTATCAATAAATAAAGTCAATTCCGCGTTTTTCACCTTGTGTGCTTTTTGGGAATAAGTTGTGAGGTATAATATTTGCAATTTAATTAATATAATTAAAAAATTTTATAATTCGCTATTGTGCTATATGTATGTATGTTGAATGTAGAATTCGGCGAGTGGTCATGCATACTGACCCGTTTGGATAAATTACATATAATAATCGTGAATATCTTTCGTTCATTCTGTCCACACCTGAAGTTAGTATTTGTTATAGGTCTTTTGTTTTTTTTAAATGTGTTGTTTGACATTATTTTGTGTTGGTTAAAATTTTTCAATGTTTTTTTGACATTGTCATTTGTGCGGTCGTATTTTCGTGATTTTAATTATTAAAAATTATAAAATTATTAGATTCGTGCAAATAATAAAATAATAAATTAAATATTAAATACCTAATGAAAAATAAAATTAAAATAAATTATATAATAAAAAATAAAATTAAAAATAAAATAACAAATTAAAAAAATTATAAAAATTCTTTTTAAATCATTCTTTGTAATAAAAATACAAACAAATAATAATTATTTAATAATATTATTTAGAATTTATCACTCAGCAGCATTAAATAATAAACATGATGATATATCGATCACTCCGAGTCAGAATTAAAATGAATAAAAAAAACTATTCTTTACGTTTAAACGACACAGTCGTCCTTTTCAGAAACTGAAATTTTTATTATAAATATAAGATACAAAATTAAAAAAATTTTATTTCATAAACAATTATTAAATAAATTTTACCTAAAGATAGTTAACATATTTTTTTTTAGAAAATGTAAACTAAGTAATTAAAAAAAATTGAGAAATGATAAAATGTTTAAAGAACGTCATTGAATTGACGTCTAACAATTATTTAAATTTTAAATTCGACGAAATTAAAAAAAAACTGTAAAATAAAAATTTATTTAATTAACAATTTTCTATGATAGAAATTCGATTAATTGGATTTTTTTTAAAATAATAATTCAGAAAATTAGAAATTCGTCTGAAGAAAGTCTTCAAATAATAAAATAATTATTATTTGAATCGATTAAATGGTATTTATTTTAAATACAGAAATTATTTGGTTCAAATACAATGTATATAATTCAAATAAAAATTATTTGGCTCAAATAAATATTTATTTGATAATAGTTAAGTAATCGAGTGTTTAAAAAAAAATACTAAAATATTAAATAAAATAAAAATAATAATATTAAAATAATAATAATAATAATAATAATAATAATAATAAATACCTACCTATTTAATTCAAATAAAACTAATTTGGTTCAAATAAATATTTATTTTTGCCAAAGTTATATAATTGTGTTTCCAAATTTCGGAATAAGTTTCTTTAAAATTCCAAATTCAAAAATTCAATTCACGAAGCTGAAGTACACAACATTTAGAAACGAATTTTTTTTTTAAAGTTGTATATTGATTGAAAAATTGTATACAAATACAAAAAATTTTATGATGAGAAAAAAGATGCGCTAGGAAATTTCGTACAAGATAGTAATTTGACAAAATTTATTTTTATAAATTTATTTTTAAGGTACCAGGGGCCAATGAATACTTATTAAATATTAATTATAAAAACACAGGCCTTGGATCAACTTAAAGACAGAAAAAAAGTCGTTTTAGTCGATTTATATTCCGAAAAAAAGTCGATTTTTTTTATTTTAACAAAAATATTTTACAGATTTTTAAATAAAAAAATTTTTTTTTTAAATAATACTTTTCGAAGGGTTAAAGTTGAAATTTTTAGAAATAATTAAATTTCAAAAGATATTGTTAATTTTCAAACAATAATTAAATTTTACAGAACTAAAAATAATTTATCAAACAATTTTTGGAAAGCATTTTTTAAATTTAATTGAATTTTCAAAGATTTAAAATTTAGATTTTTGAAATTAATTGAACTTCAAGTAATTTTTAATTATAATAATTCATTTTTAGTTGATTTTTGATTGAAAATTTTGATAATTAATTTTGAATTGAAATTTTAGAAAATAATTAAATTTAGAAAATAATTGAATTTTACTTGATTTTGAATTGAAAATTTTGAAAATAATTGAATTTTCATTGATTTTGAATTGGAATTTTGGGAAATAATTGAATTTTAATTGAAATTTTCGATAATAATTTAATTTCAGTTCATTTTTAATTGAAAATTTCGATAATTAATTTTGAATAGAAATTTTAAAAAATAATTGAATTTTATTTTATTTTAAATTGAAAACTTGGTAAATAATTGAATTTTAAATTAAAAATTTGAAATTAATTTAATTTTAGTTGTTTGTTAATTGAAAATTTGAAAATAATTAATTTTAGTTGATTGCTGATTGAAAATTTTGATAATAATTAATTTTGACTCGAAATTTTGGAAAATAATTAAATTTTAATTGAAATTTTGGATAATAATTTAATTTAAGTTGATTTTGGATTGAAATTTCGGGTAATAATTGAATTTTAATTGAAATTTTCTATAATAATTTAATTTAAGTTCATTTTTAATT